TGCTCCAAGGAAGGAAAAGCGGTGAACCAGCGACAGGGTCATGGACAGCCGAGGCTCACTGATTCACGTGGGGAGCAAAGGCTGGCCTGCGTAGTCTGATCCAACAGACGAGCTACTGTAGCTCGAACTGCTGAAAAAGTTAATGCTGGTTCTGTTAGAAAGGTGTCAAGTGAATCACAATTTGTTGGTATGGGTCTGCAGAACATTATGACCACCAGGGTGTGCAGGTGGTTCATAGGAGAGCACGGTGTCAGAGAGGCGCCTTAATGTTGCAGTTGGTGTTGGCTGACCGCCTTTACTACATATATTTGGACTACGATTCATTCATTCATTCATTCATCTTTTCATTCATCTTTTCAACAAGATGGTGCCACGTACGGCCGCCTCGGTGTGTTGGTGCACATTGTTTTTTCTTGTTTTGTTTGTTAATTCAGTTTTCGGCTGTGATACCCGGGGCTCTTTTACTAGAGAAGAGCTCATGAACATCAGGGGAACAACTCCAGCTGATCTCTTTCCCACTTTTCTTATTTCTTCCGTGGAATTATTGGACATTGTGGTCAAAGGTGCGCTCACCTTTGCTCACGCAGTGAAACGCAGGAGGAGAGGGAAACGTGCCGGTGCGCTTGTGCGTCTCCGCCAGCGCGGACATCGTACACCGTTACCTGGAATATTCCTATCCAACGTGTGCTCACTGTGCAATAAAATGGACGAACTTCAGCTACTTCTGGGGAAAAACAGTGACTTTTCTTCAGCCTCTGTTTTATGCTTCACGGAGACGTGGCTGTGTGGATTGGTACCGGACTCTGCGCTGCAGCTGGCAGGCTTCCAACTCCTCAGAGCGGATCGTAACACGGAACTCTCCGGCAAAACAAAGGGTGGAGGTATCTGTTTTTATACCAACAGTAGCTGGTGCAATGATGTGACAGTGACCCAACAGCACTGCTCTTCTACTCTGGAATCTTTCATCATAAACTTAATCGTAAACCTTTTTACTCCCCTGTGAGTTTGTTTCATTCATTCTGGTCGGGGTTTACATTCCACCGCAGGCCAACGTGCAGGACGCACAGCGCAAGCTCGCCGACCAGATACTGTGTGTGGAGCAGACTAACCCAGACTCTTTAGTTATTGTCCTTGGTGACTTTAACAAAGGAAACCTCAGTCACGAACTTCCAAAATATAAACAGTTTATTAAATGCCCGACCAGAAAGAAGAATATATTGGATCATTGTTACACTACAGTCAGCGGAGCTTATCACGCCGTCCCCCGCGCCGCACTGGGCCTCTCCGACCATGTCATGGTCCACCTGATTCCCTCATACAGGCAGAAATGAAAGCTCTGCAAACCTGTTGTGAGGACATCAAAGCAGTGGACCAGTGAAGCTGTGGAGGATCTCCAGGCGTGCTTGGACTCTACTGACTGGGATGTGTTCAGGACTGCTACTAACAGTCTGGATGAGTACACAGAGGCTGTGACATCATATATCAGCTTCTGTGAGGACTGCTGTGTACCATCACGCACCAGGGTGAGTTACAACAACGACAAACCTTGGTTCACAGCCAAACTCATTCAACTACGGTTGCAGAAGGAGCAAGCGTTCAGGAGTGGGGACAGGGACAAGTTTAAGGAGTCTAAGTACAAGTTTAGCAAGGCGGTGAGAGAAGCTAAACGTCAGTACTCAGAGAAACTTCAACATCAGTTCTCAGCCAATGACTCTGGTTCTGTCTGGAAGGGGCTCAGACAGATAACTAACTACAAGCCCAAAACCCCTCACTCCATCAATGATCTGCGCCTGGCAAACGAGCTGAATGAGTTCTACTGCCGCTTCGACAGACAAAGGAGCAGTCCTGACACCATCCCCCGTGACACCCCTCACCAGCCCCACCTCACCAGTCCCTCCCCCCCCAGCCCAGCAGGAGCTGGGGCCACTTCACAGCTTCACACCTCTGTGAATCCCTCCTCCTCCACCACAGTGACGACTCTCTGCCTCCAAGATTGGGACGTCAATAGACTCTTCAAGAGGCAGAACCCCCGCAAAGCAGCCGGACCAGATTTTGTCTCTCCATCCACCCTGAAGCACTGTGCTGACCAGCTGTCTCCGGTGTTCACTGACATCTTCTACACCTCTTTGGAGATATGTCATGTGCCAGCCTGCTTCAAAGCATCCACCATCATCCCTGTCCCCAAGAAAGCAAGGACCACAGGACTAAATGACTACAGACCTGTTGCCCTCACCTCTGTGGTCATGAAGTCTTTTGAGCGCCTTGTGCTCTCCCATCTGAAAGCCATAACGGACCCTCTCCTGGACCCCCTGCAGTTTGCCTACAGAGCCAACAGGTCTGTAGACGACGCAGTAAACATGGCCCTGCACTTCACCCTCCAGCATCTGGACTCCCCAGGAACCTACGCCAGGATCCTGTTTGTGGACTTCAGCTCTGCGTTCAACATCATCATCCCTGCTCTGCTACAGGACTCTCTCTCCCAGCTCACTGTGCCTGACTCCACCTGCAGGTGGATCACAGACTTCCTGTCTGACAGGAAACAGCACGTGAAGCTGGGGAAAAATGTCTCTGACTCCCAGACCATCAGCACTGGATCCCCTCAGGGCTGCGTTCTTTCTCCTCTGCTCTTCTCCCTGTATACTAACAGCTGCACCTCCAGTCACCATTCCGTCAGGCTCCTGAAGTTCGCGGATGACACCTCCCTCATTGGGCTCATCTCTGGTGGAGATGAGTCCGCCTACAGATGGGAGATTGACCATCTGGTGACCTGGTGCAGCCAGAACAACCTGGAGCTAAACGCTCTGAAAACAGTGGAGATGGTTGTAGACTTTAGGAAGAACCCAGCCCCACCCGCCCCATCATCCTGTGTGACTCCCCAGTTGACTCTGTGGAGTCCTTCCGCTTTCTGGGTACCATTATCACCCAGGACCTCAAGTGGGAGCTGAATATCAGCTCCCTCTCTAAGAAAGCCCAGCAGAGGATGTACTTCCTGCGGCAGCTGAAGAAGTTCAATCTGCCAAAGACGATGATGGTGCACTTCTACACTGCCATCATCGAGTCCATCCTCACCTCATCTATCACCATCTGGTACGCTGCGGCCACTGCCAAGGACAAGGGCAGACTGCAGCGTATCATTCAATCAGCTGAGAAGGTGATCGGCTGCAATCTGCCATCCCTCCAGGACCTGTACGCCTCTAGGACCAGGAAGCGTGCAGGTAAGATTGTGGCTGACCCCTCCCACCCCGGTCACAATCTCTTTGAGATACTTCCCTCTGGCAGGAGGCTGCGGTCCATCAGGACTAAAACGTCTCGCCATAAAAACAGTTTCTTCCCGTCGGCAGCTGGCCTCCTTAACAAGGCCCGGATTACCCACTGTCATTGACTCTTATACCCACCCTGTATATAAAGTATGCATTACATTAATGCACCCATGTTCTTCTGCACAGCTTTCTCTTTCTCTTCTTATCTTTATCTATTTATTTTTTGAAAGTACTTTATTTTTCTGTGTGATTTCTGTGTGATCTCTGTGTGATTTGAATTTGTAAAATTGTATATTTGTATATTTGTATTTGTATATGTATATATTTTTATGCACCAACTGCACCAGGTCACATTCCTCGTAGGCATAAAAACCTACTTGGCAATAAACAAATTCTGATTCTGATTCTGATTCTGATTGTCCTGTGTGATTTGCCACCATAGCTTCTGAATGTTGTCAGATGGTGTGTGTTTTTTATTGTGCTACTGAAATGCGAACAAACCTATCTCCGTGTGATTAACGCTACGTAAACTACTGAGGGTCTATTACAGAGGAGGTACTGAATGAGTAAATTGAAGGAGTGGATTCACACACAGTGATGGGCTGATGACATGGAGCCTCGAATTCGTCTGCGTTTTAGATGAGAAATAGGCAACACTGTAACAGAATCTTGCTTGTATTTGATCAGCACTGCCTAGTTTGACAGTTTGATATGAGTTTGATGCACTGCGCTGGACAGACTCACTGAGAGTGACCTGTCAATCAAAATGTAGCCCCACCCGAAAGCATACACAGCTTGAGACCCTATGCTCATCAGGAGCTCATAAATGAAGTGAGAAGTTGGCTCATTCTCCATTAAAGTGAATGGGATCTCTGTGTTATTGCAACCAAATGGAACTCCCCCTGCTGGAATTTACATGGAAGGCTTTTAGACATTTCCACGTTGGCTTCACTTTTCAGTCCGAGAAGCTCTGTCCATTATATATACAGTCAATGAGTATAACTTGCTGATTTGTGATTTAGGCTATCAATTTGGTTTTTATTTGAACAGTTAACTGCAAACCAAGCTAACCATTATACTAGCTGTCTCGGGCTAATATGTTACAGCATAGATGTAGAAGTAATTTAACTGCTATCTATTTTACTCTTTTCCTACCCTTACTCTTGTGCACTCTTCTTGTATGTGTACTAGATTAATTGCTCTGTTGTACTTCCTATGCATACTTAATTTTTATCTTTCACAAGTAATACTTTGTTTCCTGACATGAAGCACAAAGTAACAAATTTCAAGGATTCAAGTTTATTTTATTGTCATCTACATTGCAGTGTTGTATAATGAAATTTAGATATAGTTACCCTTATGCTACTTTTAACAACAAAACAAAACAGTGAAAATGAGTCTATGAATCCAGTTTCCTTCTTACTGTAAGTCATTTTTACAATACCTTTGGTTTTGTTTATGGAATCTGATTTTGTAATCACAATCATCGAATTTGTGGTCCAATACTGTCTTCACAGGCTCACAATTGCTTCCAGTAAACACTGCCAAGGCAAGCTGCTATTTTTAACCTCTACTGGAAATGTGCTTTGCTCGCTGTATAGGTGATTGAATGGTGTAGGGTGCAGGGATAAGAATGAGGCTTCACAAAGACCAGAATGAGAACGGTGTGACAGGAAGTGACCTTTTCGTCTATGTTCTGTGATAACCAATCAGATGCATTTGACAGTAGTACATAAAGTACAGTATTGTTGCCACACACACATGCTTTATCACCTCCTTTACTCACTCAAATGCCAACAAGGTTCCTAACCCTAACCCTAAAAAAAAGACAATGTCAAAATGATCCAGTTATGGGTTATGTTGCTTGTTCTTCATCAAGGATGTAAGTGTTTTATTTCTATTTCTAATTCTGTGCAAGTTTTCAGTTTTTCAGTATTTGCATACCAAATAGGTTTATGAAGGTTGCTATATTATCTTTTAGCATGATACATTTTTTTTTTACATTGTACACTAAATGTTGTTTACTTCATGTATTGTGTTGTTTTAATTTAATTCAGATACACTGATTCCAGTGATCACAGTTCAGCTTGGTGAACCTGTGACCATCACATGCCCTTTGCCCAATATTCAGATCAGCCGTAGAAAACTCTACTGGTACAAGCAGAGTGCTGGGGATGCTATGAAATTAATTGGGACAATGGAGAATTCTTCACCACCTGCGTATGCACCAGAGTTTTCTGATTCAAGATTGAAGATGAGTAATGATAACAAATTTAGCAACCTAACCATTGTGAGGACAGTCCAAGAAGATGAGGGAATGTATCACTGTCAAAGCTTGGAGTGGGTTTCAAAACCTGACTGGAGCGGGACATATTTGTTACTAAAAGGTAATCATGTCATCTATTTTTATATAGTTTTGCAGAACAGTTGCAGAACAGTATCATACGTCTGTTTTGAAAAATTGCAAAACGTCACCCACTGATTGAATGACCACCAGCTGTGTTGTCTAATAAAAAAATAATCATACACTTTTAAAAGTGGAGACCATGCACTGAATATAAAAATATCTAGTTAAAACCATAAGTGTCTTTCTGTTTTTCCTTTAGTTCACATTTGAGATATGCTCAAATTCGTATGTTTTCCAAATGTGTTTGGATATCCCATCCTTTTAACAGTTTTGTACTACACAGGAAACACTCATCAAAAGAGGACATCAAACTATACTGTTGTTCAGTGGCCAACAGTATCTGATCCAGTCGGTCCAGAAGACTCTGTGACTCTCCAGTGTTCAGTCCTCTCTGACTCTGACAATAAAACATGTCCAGGAGATCACAGTGTGTTCTGGTTCAGAGCTGGATCAGATCAATCTCATCCAAATATCATCTACACTGATGGAAATAGACACGATAAATGTGACAAGAGATCCAACACTCAGAAAAGCTGTGTTTATCGCTTCACTAAGAACGTCGGCTCCTCTGATGCTGGAACTTATTACTGTGCTGTGGCCGCATGTGGAGAGATATTATTTGGAAATGGAACTAAAGTGGAAATCGGTATGTATCTGTGTTCAGTACTGGGAATGATATTCATAACATTTTAATAACATCATCATTGACATGTTTTATTCTGTGTTATCTAGAGCGAACAACAACAAGTTCTGAATTTATGCTGCTGATGATAACAATAGTCTGCTTGGTAATTTCTGTGACTGGAAATATCGTTTTCTTCTGTTGCCGAACTCCAAGACTGATGCGTAAACAACTGAAAGGTAAGTGCTTTTGACTGAATCAAAAATTTTAATTCTCATGTGGTTTAACTTGAAATGTTCATATGTTAAATGCAAGTGTAACATCACACAGGATGAACCTCAACCTCATGTTATGGGTTAAAATAATAGATATTAGAAGCAAAAGCACTAGTTTGCATATTGTCAGCAAGTTAAGTAACAGCAAACACTGAAACACAATCTGAATCTCCCTATTGCTGTTTGTTCCATGTGCAGTATACAATGTCAAAGTAAGAATCACTTCCAATTGTATTTTCTTTTCATTGAACCAGTTGAAGATGCTTATTGAAAAGTCAGATTAAGTACATAATATTCCTTGTCTCATTCAATATTAGGAACAGTAAGTGTCTCTTCACAAGCAAGACATGACAGTTCAAGCCAACCAGTACATGATATCGTAAGTAATGATACTGAATTACATTATTTGTTATTTCATTAACAGCACCATGATTATAATGATCATTTTATTTGCTGCACAGGCTGAAGTTGAAGATGATATGAACTACGCTGCATTGCATTTATCTGGAAGGAAAGCCACAAGCGGGAGGAAGAAGAAAGAGTTGAACATGGACGAAAGTTTATATGCTCAAGTTAAAGGCTGAATGTGTCAAGAGAATAACCTGTGGTTGTTTAATAGGAGTTAGTCATGATAAAAGCTAAAATCATAGCATACAGACATGCTCTTTAACTTCCATGTTTATTAAATGTTTTTGTAAGTGCTGTCGTTCTATTATCTTCGAAATATTTATATATATATATATATATATATATATATATATATATATATATTAACCTGAGCTGGTTTTATTAAAAAAAAATATTCAGAAAACTGTAATAGGACTATTAAAGCATGCAACTTTTCCCTTACATTTCTCTGCTCTGCATTTCATTACATTAGTTCAAGATATTCATTGTCTTTATTTGAAATCTGGAGATGTGGTTTGTAAAGAAAAATTCAGAAAATAAATGGCCTAAGTTCTTTTAAAATGTTAAATGTTCATGTGTGACGGGCCTGGTAACATGAGGGAACATGATGGGGCATCTTCACGCATACTACTAATCTCACATTGTGGCATTATTGGACTGGTGGTCACTCTAACTGTAATTATCCATATGCAAATATTGCACTTCATAGTTCAGGCAAAGCTCATATGAGGCTTCAGTGGTCTGATTTAGTCAAATTAAGTGAATAGTGTCTTTTTATAATGAAACTGTATGTCTGAGTTACTATTCTTACTACTGAAACTATTAAATAACCTCACTAAGCTTAATCTTGCCATACATACAATATTGTTTATTCATTCATTCATTAGCTATTAACTATTTGGTTGTTTTAACTGCATACTTTTATATGCAGGACAACGTGTTTAGCAGAGAGTGAAGGATCTGAGAATATAGCTCGTGTTCATGTGTTCTTATCCTGTGAGATTAAATAGTTTGAAGTTTTCTAACGACCATTAAAATCAATGCGCTCGGGCATTATTGATCTTGAAACAGAAACTACAAGCAACTCAAAAGAAGCTGGTGAGCCACGTGTCTCATTCAAGTACTGCAAGAAAGCGCAATATTCTGAAAATATTTCCATTACTAACATCACACTTGACAAAAAATATACAAAATAATACATAGAAACAGCAGTTTCTATATTTTTCTACCATCATTTTGTATCATGTTTATTATTCGCAACCAAACAACAAATGAAGGCCTGAAACTTCTCCTCTTCTCATCCACCATTTGCACACATTTGCGGCAACCTTTGGCATAGTTTTGTGCCAAACAAAATAATATTTTTTAAATAGAATTGTGTTTTTATTTCAATTGAACATGGTTAGTTTAAATGGCCCCCAGGCTAGAAGTTCAAGACCCCTACTCTAGATGTTCCCAACTCAGGACATAATGTGTCAGCTCCTACTTTCATTGGTCCATACACTTACAAATGGCACAGGCAGCATCAAGGGTGGCCAGGGGGTGCCCCTCAAACAATTTGATTTTATCAGAATAAAAACAACTGATTTGTTCAAACCTTTATAAACAGTTTGAATTATTGCAATATTTATTATGATGTAATCCACCACAAATACTTCATAAAGCAAAGAAAATGTCAAGTGACGGGGAACAAAATCAAGTCATTGTTTCCCTTAAAAAAGGCATTTTAATGTTTATCTGAAGGTAATATCAGTTAGTGCAGGATTTCCTGTTTGTATGGACAGTGTTTGCTTGCTGAGCCAGAGTGGAGAAATAGTAGCACAATTTACCAAAATAAGACTTACTTTGGAAGCAATGACAGCGACCAGTAATTCCTGATAAGACCAGTTGTGCTGTCTGTTTACTTAGTTGTTTTGGATTGCAAAGTTTGATCATGTGAGTAAGGATGCTGTTTCACATTCTTGTGAACATTTAACATTTAGCCTTTTCAGTTATTCATTTTCAGTCCTCAGGTTTCAGGTTCATATCAAGACAATAAATAAACTACTATATTAAAAACAGCGATGTAATTAAAAGATATGTAACAAAAAAGTTTATTTTATTAAATTAAATGTATTAAATTGTCATATTTTTTAATAGCCCGATAGGGTTGATATTTCTAAGATAAATTCAAAAAACATTCATAAAAAGCAAACAAACACATCAAACAATGAGAGCATCAATGTATGGTAAAACATGGAACATCTATAGCATGTCTGTATGCTACAGAGTGATTTAGCTTTTATCATGAAACACCTCTCATCAAAGTTAGAAGGGAAGCACAACATTTAATTTTTTATTTACACTGTAAGGTTTGTACTATAAACCAGCTGTTTCATAGACACATATTCACATTCTGGATTGAACTTGAGAATACACACTTTCTTCAGTCTTCAACTCTTGCTTCTTCCTTCCTCTTGTAGCTTTCCCTCCAGAGAAATGCAACGCAGCGTAGTTTAGATTATCCCCACCTTCAGTCTGTGCAGCAAATAAAAGGCTTATTATATAGTCACTTTGTCATGTTGTTTTTAGGAATTATGTAAATTAAATAATAACAAATGATGCAATTTGTTATCATTACTTACAATATCAGGGACTGGTTGGATCAAGTTGTCATGTCTTGCTTGTGAAGTGGCGCTTTCTATTCCTAACATTGGATAAAAACAGAAAATATTATGTACCTAATCTGACTTTTCAATGGGGTCACTCCTCAACAGATTTGCCAAATTTTATTTAAAAAGAAACTTTTCCTCAATTACTGACATTGTGTACTGTAAAGATTAACCTTTAAAGGGTATTTATGTTACATACATACACATACGCACAATTGATATTAAGGGAGAGAGAAACTCCTTCTAGACGGCTACGGTTGCAGGCAATTTCTTTGTTAATGCAATGCAGAGCTGTTGACAGGTATTATGAAGTAAAATACAAGAATTGGATCGGGAGTATCAGCAGACATTAAATAGATAGATTAGATAGACAGATATTAATGGTTTTATCAACAGTATCTGGTCAGCTGGAGAGCCCATTGTTTTGGTCTGAGATGATGGCGCTCCAGTACAACATTTTGTAGCAGTGAATTTTGTATATATAACCTTTAATGAGACACAAATGCAACTTTTTGCTAATAGTATGTAAAATAACAGACCTCTACTTCTAATATCCATTATTTTATCCCATAACATGAGGTTGAGGTTCAACCTGTGTGATGTTACACTAACACTTAGCATATGAACATTTCAAGTAAAACCACACGAGAATTACAATTTTTGATTCAGTCAAGAGCACTTACCTTCAAATTGTTTACATATTGGTCTTGGAGTTCGGTAACAGATGAAAACGACATTTCCAATCATAGAAATGACCAAGCAGACTATTGTTATCACCAGCAGGATAAATTCAGAACTTGTTGTTGTTAGCTCTAGATAACACAGAATAAAACACGATGTTATTAACATGTTATGAATATCATTCCCAGTACTGAACACAGATACATACCGATTTCCACTTTAGTTCCATTTCCAAATAATATCTCTCCACATGTGGCCACAGCACAGTAATAAGTTCCAGCATCAGAGGAGGCGACGTTCTTAGTGAAGCGATAAACACAGCTTTTCTGAGTGTCGGATCTCTTGTCACATTCATCGTGTCTATTTCCATCAGTGTAGATGATATTTGGATGAGATTGATCTGATCCAGCTCTGAACCAGAACACACTGTGATCTCCTGGGCACGTTTTATTGTCAGAGTCAGAGAGGACTGAACACTGGAGAGTCATCGAGTCTTCTGGATGGACTGGATCAGATACTGTCGGCCACTGAACAACAATACAGTTTGACGTCCTCTGAGTGTTTCCTGCGTATTACAAAACTGTGTTAAAAGGATGGGAAATCAAAAGAACAATCGTAAAAAATATTTAAGAGTAATTCAAAGTTGAAATGTACTGTAGCTTAAAAGGATCTGACATTATACTCTGCGGAAATCATGACAGAACCAGACGTAAAGTTAGATCCTGAGTGAACTCTCTACACTGACAAAACAGAGTAATATACCTCACGCAACATTTCAAATGGATATTTTAAGACATATTTTATAATGAGTTTGAAAATTCTCTCAAAACATAATTTTGACAGTAAGTCATTTTTCAGAAAAAATGTGAAGAGACATTAACATTTAACATTGTATTAAACCGATTACATAATTACCAGTTAATGACAAATAGGTCCCACTCCAAATATTCTCAGTCCAATCCACAAGTGCACAGTGATACATTCCCTCGTCTTCTTCAATTGTTTTCAAAATGGTCAGCTTGCTGATATTCTTATGAAATTTAACATCCAATCTTGAGGTTGAAAACTCTGGTCCGTACACAGAGGTTACATGTTTGCGAAGCATCACAATTAATTTCAGATCATCCCCAGCACTCTGCTTGTACCAGTAGAGTTGTTCATTAATCAGCTCTTTAGTAGGTAAAACACATGTGAAGGTCGCAGGTTCACCAAGTTGAACTGTGGTCACCGGAGCTAGTGTATCTAAATAAAATGAAAACATACAACACATGAAGCAATAAATGACAAAAAGATAATCACATAAACCACCATACATCTAGTTTTCATGTAGATACTGCTGAAAGTATTTGTCATTATTATGTATCACTTACATCCCTGATGAAGGAGAAGCAGTGTAACACAGAACACAATCATTCTGACACTGTAAATTATTAGGAAACTTGTTGGTATTTCAATGAGTGATGGTGGTGACGTGGTCCTTTTATGTCAGATCTTCAGATGCATCAGATTGGTTGTCACAGAATATACGATCAAAGGGCATTTCCTGCCACACTAGTCTTATTTTGGAAGTGTATTACCTCTAACTCATATCCATTCACTTAACTATTTGATGTTAAATAGACAAACAGATTATATTTTTTTCTGAATCTCAAGAACTCTTAAAAACATTGTTCTCAACTTTAAACATTTTTTACACATTCTTGCTCATATGTCAAAACTGCTGTTATGGCTGAATTATACGTGCCACATCCCTGCTCCTGCACTGACAAATACCACCTCTTACTGGCGCTGCAACATGGCACTTCTCAACATGGGGAGTATTTGATTATAAAATCAAAAAATCACCAATTTAGCAACAGAGTGAGGTTGCAGAAGAAGCAGACGCGGTTTGAGTCTATTCTTGGCACAATGTCTGAGACCCAATTTTCACCACAAAACCAACAACTCACGGTGTGCTGATTCGTTCAAATTAACCTGTGTCTCTCCTCTAACCTGTGCACTGTGCGCTCTGCACTGGACAAAAAAATACTCTCCTACTACTTTTATCCTACCCTCTCCCCCTCTCTGAGCAGGACGACCAATCAACCAATCGACCAACCTCTTGTCTGACCAAATTCTCACTGCTTAGGAAATTGCTGGTGTTACCTCCATAATTAGAAAAGAGAACAGAGAAAATAAAGCTCTCCTGAAACAACAGAAAGAAGAAATGGATCTCAAAAAAAGTGGAAGATTATTCCAGTCAGATGGAGCTTTAAATTGAAATGACTTGTGTCCAACTTCTTTAAAAATTCCGGGAATAAAGAAAAAGGGATATTGACTAACAACTGTTCAAGATTAAAATAAACACATTAAAAAATAGATTGAACCCAGTGAAATTGCCTTCTTGATGTGGAAACCAGTCAATTGATACATACATTAAACAATGGTGTGTTCTATATGGACACCTCAAAATAAATCTACAAAAAGAGTTGTATAAAGTATTAATTGACTTGAATCTGTAGTGTTTTCATAGACAATGTCAGCATAATCAATAATAGGTAGTATCAACTAAAATGTAAAGCAGTTAATAGACCAATAAACTGAACCCAGGCAACCATATGTGTTTTATTAATAAAATTAACGTGTGGTTTAAAGGAGAGTTTGTGGTCAAACCAAAATCTGAGATATTTAAATGAATCAACTTTAACAAGGTGTGACCCATTAAGAAAGATAATATTTAAATCAAAGGAATTTGAATGACTACGTCGCATAATAAAAACACCATGCTGCAGGACTGCTTCTTATTCGATGCAAGTTTGTTATTATGAAACCAGTTTTGGATCAAGCTAAAATCAAACTGTTCTGGATTTGAGATATATCAGTTAGAATAGTAAATAACAGTGTCATCCACATACAGATAAACAGAGCAATTTAAATACATTTGAGGTAGATCACTGATGATCAAAAGGAGGGCAAAATAAGTGGTCCCAAGGTGGAGCCTTGTGGAAATCCTGTCAACAATTAAGTAGTCAGACTGAGGACCTTGAAAGACACACTGACGTCTATTGTGAAGGTAGGCATTAAACCAGAGTAGAGGATTTTGATTTAAACTGATATAATGTAGCTTATCAAGGAGGACGTAGTGATCAGAAGCCCTAGAAAGATCAATCAAAATTGCACCTGTTCTTTGGCCCATATCAAAGGAAGAAAACACATCATTAGTGAATTTTAGAAGAGCTGTGGTGATGAAAAGATTCATGTAGTGTGATAATTGATTAAAATGAGTTTCTCAAATATCCTCAAGTATCTGTAGGTTTGCCAATCAGCAGAATCATTACACAAGCGATATTTGGCCCAGGCTTTATCCCTTTGTTTGAAAAGGATGATAGGATTGGAGCTAAACGCTCTGAAAACAGTGGAGATGGTTGTGGACTTCAGAAAGAACCCAGCCCCATCCACCCCCATCATCCTGTGTGACTCCCCTGTTGACTCTGTGGAGTCCTTTCGCTTCCTGGTTACCATCAATACCCAGGACCTCAAGTGAAGAAGAAAGCCCAGCAGAGGCTGTACTTCCTGCGGCAGCTGAGGAAATTCACTTTCAAGAGTGAAAAATGATTTTTTGGTTATAAATATCTAACCACTTTACCCATGCGGTTCTTACATTCACAGACTCCATGAAATGATGCCTTCCTCCTGAATATTTGGTCACATGATCAATGTTTTTTACCATTTCCTAGCAACAAGGGGTGGCTCAACTTACCCCACTCTCCCCTATATATATTGTGTTCAGATCTCTAAAGCTTTCATCTTCAATAATATCTTCTAAACTTAAAAATAATTTAGTTTAGTTTTCTGCACATAACTGAATGATATGCAGAGTTATTGGACAACTGTTTGTTTAGTTTTTTAGTTTTTTGTAAAAAGGTTTTCTCATAACCCTTAAAATCAAGACAGCCTTGCAACCCCCCAGGCAGCTTTGGTGACCCCTACTGGGTGTCCCGACCCCCAGGTTGGGAATCACTACCATACAGAATGTTACATTTTATCAGTTTACCTGATATTTAAATTCTTAAAAACTTGAATCTTTATGAATCAAATAGTTCAGTGAATGGATGAGAGTGGGAGGTAATACACTTCACATAGAGGAGGACCTAAACAGTGTGACAGGAAATGCACTTGGATGCACTTTCTCTGATAACCAATCAGATGCATCTGATGTTCTGACATATCAGGACCACGTCACTACCTTCACTCACACAATAACCAAGAAGTCTCCTGACAAGAGACAATGTTAAGATGATCGTGATCTGTGTTACACTGCTTCTCCTTCATCAGGGACGTAAGTGATATATAATAATGTCTAATATTTTCTCATTTAAGTATATTCACACAATCTTGATAAATGGTGGTTCATGTGAATACTGTATATCTTTTGCGTTGTTTTTACACTATTTATTATTTTTTTGTTAAATGTCTTGTACATTTTAATTTAATCTAGATACCCTGATTCCAGTGACCACAGCACAACTTGGTGAACCTGCAACCTTCACATGTGTTTTACCTGATTATGAGTCGAACCCAAGACAATTTCACTGGTACAAGCAGAGTGTTGGAGATTGTTTAAAATTAATTGTAGCACAGCGGAAAGGCATAAACCCTGTGTATGGACCAGAGTTTTCTGCCTCTAGACTTGATCTAAACATTCATAAGAATATCAGCAAGCTGACCATTTTGAGGACAATTCAAGAAGACGAAGGAATGTATCACTGTGCAATCATGGATTGGGTGAAGATTACTTGGAGTGGGACCTATTTGTCATTAACAGGTAATTTATCTGTTTTCTTCCTACGTTTTGCAATCACTTTAAACCACCACAACATCCATTATAATTGTTATGTGAGATGTATTGCTCTGTTTTGTCAATGTGGGCATTTCAACCAGGATATAATTCTACTTATGGAATTTATTATTTCTGCACAGTATCATGTGAAATCACTGTATTTTATGCTTATGTTACATTTGAACTTCTTTTCATACTCAGGAAACACTCTGAAGACATCCAACTATACTGTTGTTCAGTGGCCGACAGTATCTGATCCAGTCCATCCAGAAGACTCGATGACTCTCCAGTGTTCAGTCCTCTCTGACTCTGACAATAAAACATGTCCAGGAGATCACAGCATGTTCTGGTTCAGAGCTGGATCAGATCAATCTCATCCAAATATCATCTACACTGATGGAAATAGACACGATGAATGTGACAAGAGATCCGACACTCAGAAAAGCTGTGTTTATCGCTTCACTAAGAACATCAGCTCCTCTGATGCTGGAACTTATTTCTGTGCTGTGGCCACATGTGGAGAGATATTATTTGGAAATGGAACTAAAGTTGAAATCGGTATGTATCTGTGTTAAATACTGAAAATGATCTGTGTTAAATACTGAAAATGATCTGTGTTAAATACTGAAAATGATATTCACAACATGTTAATAACATCATTATTGATTTTTTCTGTGTTGTCTAGAGCAAACATCAAGTTCTGAATTTATTCTGCTGGTGATAACAATAGTCTGCTTGGTCATTTCTGTTGTTGGAAATATCGTTTTCATCTGTTACCGAACTCCAACACCAATATGTAAACCACTTAAAGGTAAGTGCCGTTGACTGAATCAAAAATTTTAATTCTCAGTTCACATAATGTAGGAAGTGAATTGTCAATAAATTAGTGTAGCATCAATGGTGTTTAGTCCTAATTAACACAATTTTGCTGGTTATTAAGTGTTCCTCATTAAATGTACACAATGTCAGTAACTAGAGAAATCCATTTTATGCTATTTGTGATATTTTGTCAATTAAAACTTGTTGACTCAGTTGAGGATCTTTATCAAAAAGCCAGGTTAGTACATAATATTCCTTTTTTCATCCATTGTTGAGTAGAAGGCACCTCTTCACAAGTAAGGCACGACAACTCAAGCCAAACGGTATGTGATTTTTAAAGTGATGATACCAGTTATTTAATTAACATAATTCCCAGCATGACTCTACAGTGATCCTTTTATGTTGTGCACAGACTCTAGACGGAGTTGATCTGAACTATGCTGCATTGCATTTCACTGGAAGGAAAGCTACAAGAGGAGGGAAGAATATAGAGTTAAAGACTGAAGAAAGTGTATATTCTCAAGTTAAATGCTGATAGTCTGTGTCAATGCAAACCTTTCGATTGGATTGACCACTGAATAAATGTAATAAGTGCCCCTCTCTTATCTTTGCTGAGCATAAGCATACATTTACAAGGGCCTATTTGCAAGTATGTATATAAAATTGCTCTTATTGTTCCACTATGTTGACCATTTCATCCTGTGTGGTTGTGTAACCCTATTTCATTTGTTTTATTCAAAATAAAACTGTTTTCATTGTTTTTTTTTTGTCTGCTTTGCTTAAAGTTAAACCTTGTTA